TCTGATTAATGATGTGAAATATAAACAACCCTTAAATCAGACTTTAGTTACACCTGAGTCAAATTCAGGGAAGGTGATTGTCAAGTGCCAAAGTAAACTATGCAATATATTGGACGTTAAGTACTTTGTCAGACTTCATATTTATCTGTGGATAACCCCAACGTTTTCTTCTTATTCAAAAGAAGACCTTAACTTAAAGTATTCTTTAATGTTTAAATGAAGCCTTATTAGTTTGTCTGTTTTGTACATCCTCCTGTTAATATCTTTGGACGTCCTGCACTAAATCTTTATTGTAGAGATCACTACAGTATCATGATATTTTCAATTTTGTATGTAGGCTACTCTTAATATTTAAATGTTTTCATCAAATAAAACGTATTCAACAACAAAATTCAATAACGTGCTTTAACCACTAGGCGGTGCGGGTTAAAAAACCAGTGGTGTAGTTAATAAAACATAATAATATCAAACATAATATAACTATTAACTTTATTGTGGAATTAAAACAGAACGGTAAAGGAAAATACAGTTTCAGTCTCTCGATTTGAAGCTTATGCATTGTACCATGAACCTCTATAGACCTGTAACAGTCAACTGCATGATGAGTTGGAAAGGTAGTTCAGTAAATAATATCTTTAAAAACTACAAAAAATCCCTTTCTATCAGCTGTGCACCATTATGGTGTAAATATAACCTATCTACCAATTGGATCAAATATAAAAGTCAGCTGAATTAGTGTTGATACTGCAAGGAGACGTATTGTGTGAAAAGAAATGGAAGATGTTGTTTAATGGCTGATATATTTATGATCCACGTTACGTATTCAGTTTTTTCTTGTTTTTCTTACAGTTTGTCAAAAGGTCTTCTGATCAGGGCTCTATAAATAAATATCTACGGCAGATATGTAATATTTAATGCAGCCGAACCGTGTATTACAATGCCGTTATGTAATGACTTCCAAAGAGAAAAGCAAGAACACTCGGAATAAAGTATTATATTCTTTTTAAATGTTTTTCCGATTTCATATCGGATAAACACCATTTCCCGACATGCATTGCGGCTAAAACATTGATTGTTTTAGCTGTTTCAAAACCTCTGAAAAAAGAAAGGTGTCTCTCAGAATCGAAAGAGAAAAACCTATGGGAAAAACACAAAAGCATTGTACACAATTTAAACCAATAAATGTCGTATAATTAACAAGGATAAATTGATGTTTTTTAGTTGAGTACTGCAGATATCACTGTTAAATCATTTGATCATTGGTTTTATTATGAAAACGTTGAGACCGGAAATACTGTTTTCAACCCGTAACTTTACATGGAGGCTGCCGCATACCTCAAATCATCTTCGTAATATCTATCAAACTATAGATCCTATATATCGACTGGACGTGGATTCTAAAAGTACAATCTACACTTCTCGCTAGAAATCTAATCAAAAAGCGTTTTAATGGCCAAACTATCCTACAATTTAGGATTTTACAGAGAGGGTTATTTGTGAATAAACGACCATCGTTTGCATTCAACGGGAGCACTAGAGGGCGAAAACTTTAAAACGTAATTATAGGACGTATTAAGCGCTTAAGCCTCTCTGAAGAACCAGCACCTTACCGTGGTAGAGAGGTTTGTGTGCCCTGATGAACCTGGGGGCTGTGTTGTCTGGAACCTTGTGTTCCTGGTAGGGTCTCCCATGGCAAATTGGTCTCAGGCAAGGGGCCAGACTAAGATTGGTTCAAAAGACCTCATGAAAGAAAAACCAGGAAGTGAGGATACCCGGCCCGGAGGAAGCCTGGGGTCCCCTTCTGGAGCCAGGCCCAGAAGGAGGACTCGTCGGCGAGCGTCTGGTGGCCGGGCTTGCTACGGAGCCCGGCCGGGCACAGCCCGAAAAGGCAACGTGGGCAACACCTCCGCTTCTCCGTCCCGCGGGCCCACCACCTATGGAAAACAGCGATGGGGTCGGGTGCACTGCCAGAAGGGTGGCAGTGAAAGCAGAGGGTCTCGACGGACCAGACCCGGGCGACAGAAGCTGGCTTTGGGGACGTGGAACATCATCTCTCTGGGGGGGAAGGAGCTGGAGCTTGTGCGGGAGGTGGAGCGTTACCAGTTGGATCTGGTTGGGCTCACCTCTACGCACAGCGTCGGCTCTGGAACCTTACTTCTGGATAGGGGTTGGACTATATTCTTCTCCGGAGTTGCTCAAGGTGTCAGGCGCCGGGCGGGTGTGGGGATACTCACAAGTCCCCGGTTGGGTGCTTCGTTGTTGGAGTTTACCCCAGTGGACGAGAGGGTCGCCTCCCTACGCCTGCGGGTTATGGGGGGGGGAAACTCTGACTGTTGTGTGTGCTTATGCACCAAACAGCAGTTCGGAGTATACGGCCTTCTTGGAGACCCTGGAAAGAGTCCTATATGGGGCTCCTGAAGGGGACTCTTTAATCTTGCTGGGAGACTTCAACGCACATGTGGGCAATGATGGAGACACTTGGAGGGGCGTGATTGGGAGGAACGGCCCCCCTGATCTGAATCGGAGTGGTGGTTTGTTACTGGACTTCTGTGCTAGTCATGGATTGGCCATAACAAACACCATGTTCGAACATAAGGATGCTCATAAGTGCACGTGGTACCAGAGCACCCTAGGCAGAAGGTCCATGATCGATTTCGTTATCGTATCATCGGACCTGAGGCCGTATGTTTTGGACACTCGGGTAAAGAGAGGGGCGGAGTTGTCAACTTATCACCATCTGGTGGTGAGTTGGGGCGAGTGGCGGGGGAAGCCTCTGGATAGACCTGGTAAGCCCAAACGTGTAGTTCTGGGAACGTCTGGAGGAGGCCCAAGTTCAGGAGGTCTTCAACTCACACCTCCGGCGGAGCTTTTCGGGCATTCCTGTGGAGGTTGGGGACATTGAACCAGAGTGGTCGGTGTTCAAAGCCTCTATTGCCGAAGCCGCGGCGGGGAGCTGTGGTCTCAAGGTCTTAGGTGCCTCAAGGGGCGGTAACCCTCGAACCTCCTGGTGGACACCGGTGGTCAGGGAAGCCGTCCGACTGAAGAAGGAGGCCTTCAGGGATTTGTTATCCCGGGGGACTCCCGAGGCAGTTGCAAGGTACCGACAGGCCCAAAGGGCAGCAGCCTTAACCGTGGCCGAGGCAAAGCAGCGGGTGTGGGAGAAGTTCGGAGAAGACATGGAAAAGGACTTTCGGGCAGCACCAAAGTTGTTCTGGAAAACTGTCTGACACCTCAGGAGGGGGAAGCAGGGGACCATCCAAGCTGTGTACAGTAAGGATGGGACGTTGTTGACCTCAACTGATGGAGTGTTAGGGCGTTGGAAAGAACACTTTGAGGAACTCCTGAACCCGACAACTCCGCCCTCTATGTTAGAGGCAGAGCTGGAGTATGACGGGGGATCAACACCAATCTCCCGGGGGGAGGTCACTGAGGTCGTCAAACAACTCCACAGTGGCAAATCCCCGGGGGTGGATGAGATCCGCCCAGAAATGCTGAAGGCTCTGGGTGTTGAGGGACTGTCATGGTTGACACGTCTCATCAACGTTGCGTGGAAGTAGGAAACAGTACCGAAGGAGTGGCAGACCGGGGTGGTGGTTCCCCTTTTCAAAAAGGGGGATCAGAGGGTGTGTGCCAATTACAGAGGCATCACATTACTCAGCCTCCCCGGGAAAGTTGACTCTAAGATACTCGAAAGGAGGGTCAGGCCGATTGTCGAACCTCAGATTGAGGAGGAACAATGCGGATTCCGTCCTGGTCGTGGAACGACGGATCAGCTTTTTACTCTCGCAAGGATCCTGGAGGGGGCCTGGGAGTACGCGTATCCGGTCTACATGTGTTTTGTAGACTTGGAGAAGGCGTATGACCGAGTTCCCAGGGAGTTACTGTGGGAGGTGCTGCGGGAGTATGGGGTGAGGGGGTCTCTACTCAGGGCCATCTAATCTCTGTACTCCCAAAGCGAGAGCTGTGTCCGGGTCCTCGGCAGTAAGTCAGACCCATTTCCGGTGAGGGTTGGCCTCCGCCAGGGCTGCGCTTTGTCACCAATCCTGTTTGTAATATACATGGATCGGATTCCGAGGCGTAGTCGTGGGGGAGGGGGTCTGCAGTTCGGTGGACTAAGGATTGCACCACTGCTTTTTGCAGATGATGTGGTTCTAATGGCTTCATCGGTCTGCGACCTTCAGCACTCACTGGATCGGTTCGCAACCGAGTGTGAAGCGGCTGGGATGAGGATCAGCACCTCCAAATCTGAGGCCATGGTTCTCAGCAGGAAAACCATGGACTGTCCACTCCAAGTAGGGAATGAGTCCTTACCCCAAGTGAAGGAGTTCAAGTATCTCGGGGTCTTGTTCTCGAGTGAGGGAACAATGGAGCGTGAGATGGGCCGGAGAATCGGAGCAGCGGGAGCGGTACTGCAGTCGCTTTACCGCACCGTTGTGACGAAAAGGGAGCTGAGCCAGAAGGCAAAGCTCTCTGTCTTCCGGGCCATTTTCGTTTCTACCCTCACCTATGGTCATGAAGGATGGGTCATGACTGAAAGAACGAGATTGTGGATACAAGCGGCCGAGATGGGTTTTCTCCGCAGGGTGGCTGGTGTCTCCCTTAGGGATAAGGTGAGAAGTTCAGTCATCCGGGAGGGACTCGGAGTTGAACCGCTCCTCCTTCGTGTCGAAATGAGCCAGTTGAGGTGGTTCGGGCACCTAGGCAGGTGTTCCAGGCACGTCCAGCTGGGAAGAGACCAAGGGGTAGACCTAGGACCAGGCGGAGGGATTATATCTCTTCGCAGGCCTGGAAGCGCCTTGGGATCCCCCAGTCAGAGCTGGTTGATGTGGCCAGGGAAAGGAACGTTTGGGGCTCTCTGCTGGAACTGCTACCCCCGTGACCCGACCACGGATAAGCCGGTGCCTTCAGTCTGTAAGAAGGCACTTCCCAAGGACTTTCTGATGGCGTAGATCACCTTTTTCTGTGGCATAATATGAAAAGATAACATGTTGTTTTTCCAGAGTTACAAGGGAAGCAGAGGGAGCTTCAGGAGGCAGCGGCAGCGATGGAGGAGGCCGTCTCAGCGCTGAAGAGAGATGAGGAGCAGCTGCTGTAAAACGCATCACAGTTTACTGTAGACCAGTGGTTTTCAACCTGTGGTACGGGTACCACTGGTGGTACGCCAGCTCCCGCTAGTGGTACACGGAGGAATCTGAAATAAAAAAATTATTTATTCCTTTACATTTTATTTATTAAAAACATTGAGCCAAAATCTCATTTATAATGCTGACCTGGCCAAGAAGGCAGCAACGGTTCTTACACATAACACAGACGAGAGAGAGAGAGAGAGAGAGAGTACTAACACCCTGAGGCCAAGTCAACTGATAGGGCTCGTTGTCAAACAAAGAGTTAACAGCGAGACTCGTTGGTTTGTTTAAACTGGAGTCAGAGGAGGGTTTAGAGTAAAAGGGCTGTGCCTGTGAAGAAACAGTCAGTCATAATAACATAAAGTATAAAGACGACAACAACAGTCATAACGGTAATGGATATTATGTTAAACTACAAGATGGATTGAGCTCCAGTTAATATGAGACCGGATTAAGTGGGGACGAATTTGAGAGAGAGAGAGAGACTGCCCGCCCTTTGTACATAAATAATGTTATTATGAATACATTTGCCTCCGAGTCCTGCATGAACTTTGCATAGACTGTATTTTAACATTGGTCATATGGTGGTACTTGGAGAGCCAACTATTTTCTCAGGTGGTACTTGGTGTAAAAAGGTTGAGAACCACTGCTGTAGACAATGGTAAAGGGATGGATGTGGAACTACAAAACTGCATCAATATAAACATTGATAAATTCACAAAATTGTAACAAATTAATTCTACCCAAATACATTTTTATTGAACCAAATAATAGGTTTCATTTTTAAAAACTTTTATTAAAATGAAAGAAAAAAAATCCAACACGGGCAACTGACCCAAGTTTGCAAGAGTTTTGAAATTGTAAAAAATAACGTATTTTCTACATACTATGAATTTATTTTGACATCCTATATTATGAGCTTTTTTTACTATGACTGAAGTGATAACAGTGATGAGGGCTTCTGGGAAACTTGAGGCCGGGCAGCAGGATGTAAACTCTTGTGTGGCTCAGGGAGGGAAGTGTTGGTTGCTACCTTGAGTGCACACTTAATAAATGTAAAAAAATGCAACATTGATAACTTTTCAACATGTATTTTCAACATTAAGTAAATTGTTCCATTGTTAACTTTTCTTACAGTTATTGAAAACAAAAAAACTCACTGCACTGGATCTTTCTGTGAAGATAGTTGCATCTCTGGTTTATCGAACAAAAGAGATTTGTTCCTTAAAAATCAAATGTCTAACTCAATCTCAATTCTCTAACGCACTATGATACATAAAAAAACATTTGTTACCTTTTGGTTTATTGCAATATATGTATTAATATTAAAAAATACTTGTTTACAGGAAACCAACTTTTTTCTAGTCATTTGTTTGGAAAAAGGTCACAACATTTTAATGGCATTTCATAATACGCAGTATCAATTATAGTTTCTGATTTTGAAGACAAAATGTCCTGCATAGAAATGAGCAAACATTTTTCTTTCACATTCGCACAGCATGTCGTTTAGCTTAGTGTTAACACTGTAAAATAGTGCTTTTCACATACAGAAACGTTTTCATCCACCAAGACAAGTCGACTCAAGCTTCTGCAAGGCCTCGTGTCTCACTGTAAACAGATTTTAAATGTTAACATACTTCTTGAGAAAACGAATTGTTCTTCTGTGTGCTAATCATGGACCAAATAGAGAAGCTTTATTGAATGGTATGGAGTTGTAGCTGCACAAAATAAGACTGTCTAAGATGTGGTATCTGTCATTTCACACATGTAACAGTTTAAGTATAAATCTCACTTCAAAACCAAAACAAAATCATGCCTCAACCAGCAGCACTAAGGATCTCTCTGGAGTTTGACCTAAACACACTTAAAGAGAAAATGTGCCACCTTTTTGTGGATGTCGCATCATTGGTAATTGTTAAGTTGGTTAATTAAAACAATGGGGAACTGTTTTGACAGAGAAGATAAGTTAAAAATCTGAAAAGTCTGCCGTTTCTTAACCCTGCGCAGTTATTTAAAGTGACGTTGTTGGAAGTAAGGGAGAACTAAATGTTTCTTAATTTAATCAAAACGTGTGTTGTATAAGAAAATAAACTGCTTTCTGGAGGATTCAGCTTCCTGGGTCAATATAGCTCACACTGAGGGATTCATTGCCTCAATGAATTGGGACATTAAAGACGTTAAGGTGGTACATTTTCCCTTGAATTGATTTATCTGTGTCCAGTCTTCAAAACACTTCCTCTGTCCCGACATCTGAAAGTGCAAACAGCCTCAAACTTAAAGGTGGGGTAGGTAAGTTTGAGAAACCGGCTCGAGATACACTTTTTGTTATATTCCATGGAATGCTCTTAACATCCCGATAGCAATGAATATCTTAAGTGCTTTGACAAAAAATCCATAACAAATGTCATCTGTGGAAGCCGTAGTACTGTAAAAAGCACGACCAATCGTTTTAGCCGCCCGGCTAAAATAACTGGATGGCCTACCTGCCTGTCAGCCTTCCTTCTGTGCACAAACTTATCTCGTGCCCTCATTGGTCATGTGCACGTTCGTGTGTTGGAGGAAGGGCTCTGTAAGGAAGTGGCAGATTTTTTCCGGCTGTGTATTTTCAAATTCTAGCGCACTCGAGCTGGTTTCTCCAAAATTACCTACCCCACATTTAATTCTGAAAACCACAAAATAAGATGGCACATCCAAGCTATGATGCAGTCTTCTAATAAAAAGAAACAAAATCATATTCAAACAAGTGCAAACACTAAAGAAGTAACTTGGTCAATAATAAGGTAAAGTGATATCAGGCAACTGGCATGAATATTTCAAGTTGAAACAACTTGATCAAGCGATAGTAAGTCTCGCAATGCAAATAAACCCTGTGTTTACACAATGTGTGTAAGTAAGAGGAAGTCAGACACAATATACTGCTGTAACTTCACTGTGTGATGTCCGGTCATGTCTGGAATGAAAGGAATAATCTGACAGTGATGATAACCTATGTAAAGTTTGTGTAACCACCCGTCAGAGGAGTGACAGAGTCCATTAGAAGTCACTCCCAGGGTCTCCACAGCATCCTCCGCCTCCGAGTCTATAATGAGCTATGATTGGTCAGTTTTTAAAGGCTCCACAGCGGCTGGCTCGACAAATGAAATCTTTGAGCAGGTCGCCGTTAATCTGCAAGAAGGCGGTGGTCTGGGTCACCTCCGTCAGGTGGTTCACACAGAACTTAAAGCAGAACTCCTCCAGGTCCTGAAAAACAAAGATAAGAGCATGGATTAGCAAAAGCTTCTTCATGTTGGTCCATGTTCTTTCAAATTAACCACTTATTTGGAGAGTTTTAGCACAATATCCTACTCGTTTGTTCACATCTTCAGCTCAGGAAAATACCAAAGCAAAGTCTCAAGCATCATGAAAACAATGCAGGTTCTCAATGGTTCACAGGTTTTATTTGACTAAAAATATGTAATTATTATAACCAAGTAATACGTCTGATGCACTGCTTGAGTGGCAACATGTCACAGCATCTCCTACTCACCACTGAATTTGTTCTCATACATTTCCTTATGTAACAGACTTTCTGCAATATGTTAGCCTCCCTATTTTATTCGTGCTTTTTATCTGCACTGTACCTTTAATGCAGTAATGCTGTAAATGTCCTGCTGTGGCATGAATAAAGGATTTCTGATACTCAAAACTAAGTAGATATTTTCCCTATAACTATGGGATGGCAGGGGAACTGATACAAACAGGTGATTGTTGGTAGACTGTCGTGACCTCTGACCTCTGCATCGTAGCGCACCGCAGCTGCCAGCAGTGAGAAGGCGTTCTCCACGGTGATGCCTCTCTTTATGATGTGTTGACAGAGGCGCTTCAGACGGTTCTCACAGTACGACGTGGCCAAATCCAGCAGCCCTAAGAGATCAGAGATAATGACATGGTAAGTTAAAGGGGCCTGTTGTGTTCAGATTCATATTAGTATTTTGTGCGTCTACTGTGACTTGTCTCCATGCTTTAATGTTCAAAAAGCTCTTTATTTTTCTCACACTGCCTGTGCTGCAGCACCTCTTTTCACCCTCTGTCTGAAACCAGAGTCCAGTCTGCTCTGATTGGTTAACTGGACGGCTCTGTTGTGATTGGTCAACTGTTTAGAGAAGTCCCGCCCCTTAGCCTATCAGGTACAATGTGCTAGCTAATAGAAGCGTGAGTGTAACATATTGTCACTATGATCCGGAAGTAAACAAAGGAGTCCAATGGAGGCGTTTCAGGCGGGATGTGGGTGTGAAAATACATTAACCTGTATAACACACTCAGGAATGGGAAACCCCAACAATAATATGTCCCCTTTAAAACAACCAACATTCAAACTGAAGTCAGTCAGTGTGTGTGTGGTTCTGACCGATAGCGTCCTCCGGAGGCAGCTCCACAGCGTCGGTGTAGAGGAACTCCAGGAAGGAGCGGTACACCGGATAGGAGAACTGATTGATTTCTATCACCTCCTTCATGTCTTCGTTCCAGTGCGACTGGAACATGGTCCTGAAGTGTTCACACCTGCACAGCAGCGTGTTCCAGAAGAGAAACTCAAGTTATTTCTAATAGTCCAGTAAAGTTTCAGGACTTTGACTGACAGCTCTAAGATGAAGTCCCTGACCTGATTTTGAGGATGGCTTTGTGGACGCAGATATGTTTGCCGTCAACGCAGAACTTGAGGTCGGCTGTCTCCGGGTTGTCAAACTCTTTCTTCAGAGACTGAGCCACGGTCAAGAAGTCATCGTGCTCTGCAGGGAGGAAACACACACACACACACACACACACACACACACACACACACACACACACACACACACACACACACACACACACACACACACACACACACACACACACACACACACACACACACACACACACACACACACACACACACACACACACACACACACACACACAGCTTTAGGAAGATAAAACAACAGCATATCACTTATATATTAAACTAACTGAGAGTCAAGGATCACAGATTTGTTCTGTATTTTTCATGATTTTTTTTATTTGTTTATAATGTTTTTTAAGTCAGTTTCCTGCAAAGAATTATGTACTTTGGTACTAATTATATGACAAAGTCTGCCCAATCAGTACAATGCGATTTTATGAGTTCCCTTTTAAATTGGAACTATTTATTGGGTACAAAAATATTTCCCTATTTACTGTACTTTTGTAATTTCTCTTTGATCTGGCATCTATTGGTAGCTTTCTTATAGATTGTGTTTCTATTAAGGCCTGTGCCTGTTATGTTACAAAACCAATAAAGATAATGGTGGAAGTAATTCAAAAATGAAATGCTAAAACATTTCAGATTAGCTGAACCTGTGCACATTAACCCTTTGCCTCACCCATAGAGAGAAGCTTCCACATGACTGAGGGCGTGGCGAAGCAGGCGAACACATCGTCGGTGCAGGTGAAGTGTGTGAGGAGGGGCAGCACGATGGACTGGCCCCTGCACTGACCCCACATGTACACCTGGCCGCTCTGAGTCTTACAGGCTGAGGTGTGTGTGGAGTGGCAGGCGGCGACCTCCACTATCCTGCAGGGGGAGAGGAGAGAGTGAGGGAGGGAAAGGCAGGGGGGAGAGCAGTCTGTAGTATCTGTGGTGACGCTCACCTCTCCTTCTCCGTCATGATGAGCAGCGGGCTCAGCTGGTTGCTCTTGTTTCCGGTGCCCAGCTGTCCGTAGGTGTTGGCCCCCCAGGCGAACAGCAGCCCCTCGTCTGTGAGGGCCAGAGAGTGGGCGTAGCCCGAGACAATCTGGAGAGAGACAGACACTCTAAGTGTAAGACTGTGAACAGCGTAAGAATGTAAACATGTCCATTACAGAAAAGAAGTGTACAGATTTGAAAGCAAAACAAGCTACATCTGCTTCATGGTGAACAATAAAGTTGTCCTTTTGCTTACTTCAAAAGGGTCTCCATTCTCTTTGCTTGTGCAACTTTTTAAATGTGAAGACTTGCTCTGTTTCATATATTATGAATTGTATACCTTCTTGTATTCTTGGTAAGACAAAGGAAGGTATCACTTTCGGCTCTGGTTACATTTAAAATAATAGTCTATTACCTGTACTGATAGGATTAAGGAGGTGGGATTTGAAAGCCTGTTTTGAAGTCTTGAAGAATCCTAACATAGGAGTATTTATTTATTATTTTACTGAAGAACAAACAAAGTGTACTTGCAAACGTGCTGTTTTCTTCTGTTATCGTCTCACTTGTTTTAAAGGGTGAGGGCCCATTCATAAAAGGTGACAGTTCATACTTGTTTTTGAGTGTTGTTGAAAGTTTAAGAAGTGTTTAGGAATTCGTTTTCAGGTCCTTTAAGATAAGAGTAAATTGATTTAACAACTCTTAATGAGCAGGTCGTTAATCACAGAGAGAAGATATAATAAGTAGTATAGTATTTATTCAGTGGATGACCAAATTCAATTGACATACATTTGTGATTTTTATAAAAATGTTTCTCTTAGAGTTATGACTTTTAACACAAACGTTTTTTCTCTGAATATTACTTCTCCACTATAAATCTATATTGCCCTAATACACAGCTGAACAAATCAAGAGTGGCACTGGGTGAGACACCCAAATACGCTTTTGTGAGTTCCCGATCCCATACCTGCTGCACACATAAGCCCTGCAGCGCGGCGAGGCGGCAGGGGGTCAGCTGGTTCCCGCTGTTCCCGAGTCCCAGCTGTCCGTTCCCGTTGTAGCCCCAGCCGTAGACCTGCAGACACACAGAGAGCATCAGTGCTGCGGAGGAGATGGCAACACTGTGTTTACATTAACGTTTGAATCAAACAGTCACCTCTCCGTTGTCCAGCACTGCCAGAGACGAGGTCTGCCCGCACACGATGCTGACGGCCACTTTGTTCTGCAGACAGCTGGACACTCTGCGGGGGGTCGGCTGGTTCGCTGTGGAGCCCGAACCCACCTGACCACAGTTGTTGTAGCCCCATGCATACACCTGGAGAAGAAGAAGGTAGACAGTTATTATGACATGACACAAAATATTATCTATCCACACAATCCTATGCTGTAAAATGCACACTTTGATATCCCTTAAGAGGGACTGCAACAAACAGTGCTTCATGTATAAAGGAGTATTTAAACGATGTGACTGTAATGAATGTACTTTATTATGAAGATCTTTTAAATATATATTCTCAGAGTAATGATAGTGGATCAGATGGGCTGAAGATTGGGAGTTAACTACAGTAAACGTGTTATATACATTTCTTGCTTTTCCCTGATGGTCTGAATAAATCCTAAGTCTTGCTATGCTCCAAAAACAGAAAGAGATCTGATTGCTTTTGTGTCAGCAGAAAACGTTGAAAAGGTTTCTGAAGCGACTTCAACACTTTGTTGATATTGTTTTCCTTTTTGCTTAGAGAAGAGAAAATGTATACCAGTCACTACTTCACTATTGGCACCAAAACAAATGAGTGTCCTAGAATATCAAACTTTTGATCAATCTCAACTAAACTTTTTAATCTCATCCCTTTACAAATTTGAAGCACAGAATATAAAACATTGTTGTTGTATCTGGGAACCAACATGTTTACAGCACGCTACAATATGAATCCGACAATATTTGAAATATTTTGTTGCACAATATTGTACTTTGGGCTTAGTTTTCTACGTTTTTCAGCTCTGAGGGATCAGCTCCTGCTCAGATGGTCTTTATGACTCAGCGCTGCCTCTGGCCAAATCTGAATCACATGCATCATTAGAAGGTTTCACACAGGTTTCTGCTGCAAACACTCACTTCTCCTGAGTCAGTGAGGGCCATGGAGTGGTGCGAGCCACAGGCCACCTCTGTGACCTTCTTATTCAGCAGGTTAGCCGACACGAGCAGCGGAGCGGCTCCTTGGTTGGTCGTCCCGTTCCCCAGCTGGCTGTAGCCGTTGTGACCCCAGGCGAACAGCTCTCCATCTGAAACCACAAAACGCTGAGTCATTCTGCAGCACTCTCTAATCCAAGAGGAGGATTAGAAGTCCTGTGCAGCTACCCTCTGTGGCCAGCAGGATGTGGGGTCCGCTGCCGTAGCTCACGCTGACCACCTTCTTCCCGCTCAGGAAGTCCAGCTTCTTGGGAACAATGGAGCTCTGACTGTCTCCTGTCCCCAGGCAGCTGCTGCAGTTTAACCCAATCACATACACCTGAGAGAGGGGAGAGGAGGGACAAAAGAGAGAGCGAGTAACAGTGATAAGCGGGGCTGAGCAGAGGAAGTTATTGTGAGCCGAGTAGGTACCAGGTCACATTCCAGAAGCACAAAAATCAGGCGGTGATGATAAGAGCAAATTCAAAACAGCACGATACAGAGAGGACAACACAAGGTCATGAGCACAGGCCTACAGCTTGTTTTGATATTTACTTTAAGAATAATCATTGAAAGATCCATAACATTCTCTAAGATAACTAGCAAGAAACAGATACATTTTGATCTTTCTTTAGGGAAAGCTTCACTTTAAAGACTAAACCTTTGTATGTCTGGGTAACTTACCAATTAAAGAGCATATTTCTCTGCAGGCAACACTATATTATGACATATGTATTTCTTATAAAGTCTTTATAGTGAAGAATACAACAAACACACTGAATAAAACTTATTTGGAATCAGGAAGTCCAGGCCTATGAAGGTTTGTATAGTAGTAGTAATAATTGGGTCTTTTGCAAAAACACTAGTTTTGACACAACCCCCATTCAACTTAAACAAATCATGTTTTGCATCACATTTGGATTCTTTGTTCCCAGTAAAGGCTTAAAAAAAAGAATCTTAAAGAGGGAAAACTATTTGCTATACAAATGAAAATATAAATATAAAAAACCCCAATATGCTGGGTAAAATTAAAGTAATGTGAAACTTGTAGTCCAAGATCCTCTAACTATTGCGCACCAGTAACGATGGCTTCCCTATTGCATGATTAACTCCACAGCCCTGTTCCCCCCCGACGCCTCACCTCATCATCTTTGGTGATGAAGACGGCCTCATTAGCAGACGTCCCAAACACGCAGGCTTTCCGTATCGAGGAGAGCTCCTGGGGCCCCATCATGCTGAAAATGGGCCATTTGGTAACATCCACCATGATGCTATCTCTGTGGAGGGGTGAACCTCAGTGCAAGGGCTGGGGGGGGCGGGCATCAGCAGGAGGAGGTGTGGGGGGGGGGCAGAGCTGCCAGCGCTGCAGTGAGCTGGTGTTAAAATAAAATGCAAAGTCAGGGAGCATCAAGGACATCTGACAAACTTTACAGTATAAGCATTTTTCATTTAAACAAAAGTCATGAATTCTATCTTCAAGGTTTGAATACTTTGGGACAGACAGGCGTGAAAGACACAGAGATGTTCAACAAAATGTAGTGATATGTTTGTATTAAGTGTGTAAATGTTCTAAGAGTGATATCGTGAAACATGTAGATGCCCCAAAATCCAACGCACTGTCCGACTTTCGGTATCAGCTCACAAATCATTTCAGTGATCTAGAAATGTCCTAATCCTGACAGGCCTCACCAGCAGATGGCTCAGTTACAGTGACATGTACAGAGATAAAGGAAACAGACTTGGAGATAATAATACATATTTTTGCAAACCCATTTTCCTTTTAAATCATAGTACAATGAGAGGATCCTTAGATCATTAACTAGCTAGATGTTAGGTGGCTGCCTCTTGCTGCACTGTGTCTACTGATTATTTTTGCCTTTTACCACTTTACCTTCTTATTTGTGTTTTTTTCTTTTGACTATACTTTATTGGTATTGACAACAATGGCCATATTTTGTTTTGAAAGTTTTCTGGTTACTCTTGTGTTACTTTCGACACTTTTTGTATATATGTACATACTTGCTGCTGTAATTGTTATTTTAGTTAATTTTATTGTATTTATATTTTCTTCCACCTTTAAAGATTTTGCTGCTGCAACAAAATTATATCCCAATGGTGCATGTGTAACAAAGTTAAAAATGTGTATACATAATTATTAGTTTATAAATTACGATTTACAATAGGTTGTGAATTTTATCTTTATGACATTGTTTCCTTTTAATATCTTTGAGTAATGTTTCTAGTGGGAACACATTCCCGTTGCACATCGTTTTCTACTTCATGTATTTCATTTCCGCTTTCCCCTCACACTGAAGTGAGCAGCACTGCTGAGGGTAGGCTGTGCTTGATTGATTGATTGATTGAAAAGTTTATTAACAGCTTGTATATTGGGTACAGTACAGTACAGCTCAAAACATACAATTGTTAAGGGGATGCAGACCAGAGAAAGACTTTCGTCTTGTTTACATCAGGGTCCCCCATTTCCAATTCATCATATCATTTAAGACATATAAGACATATTTGACATACAGATGGCTTATTTACAATTTACATACAGGTGGTTTTTTACATACAGATTGCTTATTTACCATTTTCATTTGAGTTCTAATACATCCTAACCGGACATTTAAGACATACCAAGTCTACAGATATACAGTTAGTAACAGAGTCTAAAATGCGAGTATATACATAGATGGGGGGGGGGAAGCTGTCCATTGAACGACAGGTTGAGATTTGTACCATTACCGGTCCAGTTTTGCAATGCTCTCCCCCGAAGGTGCTCTTTAAGAGAGGGTTTGAAGGTAAGTATAGTTTTATTCTAGGAATTGTGTTACAGTTTATTACAATTTTGTGTGGTAAACCGGCTATTTAAGTTGATGAAAGTGATGTATGTTGTTAAGTGTCAATTTGGGTACATTATTAACCCTTTTTTGTTAAGTTTCCACCGTAAGAAATTGTATATTGAGTGATATTTACGATGTGGTTTTGGCGGGAAATAGACGCGATCTGCGTCATTTTCTTTGTTTATATGTCAACACTTTCTGACTTTTCTTCCTTTTGTAAAGATGTGCAACGCGGATGTAAAGGAAATGCTGTGTTTCTTCAGAGGTATGTTTGAATGTTATGTGATTACTTAAAAATAAGATTTTCTTCTTCATTTCATAATTTCTCAAATTGTATAATAGTATGTATGTATAAATAAATACTAGAGACACTGAAGTGATCACTGCTGAGGATGTGCAACGCGGATGTAAAGGAAATGTTGTGTTAGTTCTCAGAATAAATGCCAGAAAACACACTCAGATGCTTCGCTGTGGTTTCCTGATCGATAAGGAGTCGCTCACGGTTGTGACCCGTTACACAGGTGTAAACTAAAGATGAAAGTCTAGTGTTATTAATGTTTTTTTTACATGTTGCTGTTAAATGTTGCCTTTATTCAGCTGTGAGCCTTGTAACGGAGGTGATCTCTTGGCCCATAGATCTCGGCCTCCGTTACGGGTAATATAGCACTAAAAACATTGCACAGGAAGCAGGGGAATATATGTAAGTTTGTCTGTCTCTGTTTCCTGGTTTCATGTTAAAAGTGTTTCCCTTTCCCCATGTCTGTGGCTGTTGATTGTGTGCACCTGGTGCCCTGTGTTGTCTCCTCCCCCCCACCTGTGTCGAATTGCTGATTAGTATGTGTATTTAGGGTCTGTTGCCCTGTCTGTTTTGAGGCTGGTAGTGTGGGTGAGATCCTTGTGGCTGCTGACTGTTCAGGGGAACAGCAATTGAGGCTGTGAATCATGTGCTTATGATTTGAATAAATGCCCACACCGGGTTGTATTTTTGGACGTTCTGCCTCTGCTTCCTTGCTTGGTCGGGCCGCTCAATTGTCAGCTTCACAATTGGTGTCAGAAGTGGGATTGACCAAGTGAGGAGGTGAGAGTGATGGAGGAACTGAGGGAGATGATGAGGTCACTCCTGCAGCTTCAGGCAGCCGGTGAGCAGCAGTTTGCACGGGAAGAGGAGCGGAGACTCCGGAGGCAGGACGGCAGATTGGCTGGAGGCTCGACGGGCGCTGGCTCTGCCACTGAGGCATCAGAGATCCTGGCAGAGAACCAGAGATTGGTGCAAGAGCAGAAAGAGGAGCAGCTCTGGTTACAGAGGGAAGAAGAGAGGAAGGCAGAAGCATTGAGAATGGTTGGAAAGATGGCGGCGCACACTCAGAAGAATAACAAGCCAAGGAAACCTGGAGGAAAGGAGTCGCAGCTTTTGATAATTGCCAAAACTCCGGAGTTCGTCCGGGAGGTGATGGGTTCCAGCGCCGGTGCGGGCAGCGGGGAGTTCCACGTTTACCGGCACCTCCGACGCAGGAAGAAGCGGGAAAAACTGAAGCGCAAAATGCGGATGGCAAAGATAGCCGAGAAGGTCCGTCAGGAGAGAGAGCGCGTCAGACCGCAGGAGCGCATGGAGAGGAAGAAAGGGAAGCTTCTTTTCGACTTCACGGCCCCCCCTGAGGAAGCCAAGATTCCTAAGACCTTAGAGGTTTCTCAATACTCAAATTTCCCCTCCTCGAGACTTGGTGCCGCCCACAGGAGATGCGAGCGGAAGACTGAGGAGGGGAACCGAGGAGAGAGGAGGGGAAGCAGCAGGCGGTTAGAGAAATGAGAAGTCCTCTCCTCTGAGCGGTCATTTTAAAGAGACGTCCATTAATGATGACAGGAGGCACAGCAGCCCTCTGTCTGATGGACAGATGTGTTCATGATTACTTTTATATTTACTTTTAATTCATTCACAGTGCGGTATAAATGAGACAATAACAGGCTACAGATGCGGACACACACATTTATATACATACAATTTCAGAATCAAACAAGTATGAGAGCACTCTCATAATAAGGTAACACAATCAGAGACTGGATATATCCCCCCCCCCCCACCACCCCTCTTTCTGGTCGCTGAAATGGGGAATTGAAATTACGGGCCAAAAGTTGTACAAGTATTAAAAGTAAGCATAGGACACCAAACCAACTGAGACCCGTCTGTCCGCCGCATCTATGCACTGTACAACACACACCTACACACTACACTGTACCACACACACACACCTACACACTGTACTACGCACACCTACTGCTCCTAAAGCATAATCAGGCTACAGCCGTTGTGTATTTTATTATGTGAAGCACTAAATGGTCTTAGAAAAATATCGACTCTTTGTTTGTAGATATCTACTAAACTACAGCATACAAATACAGAGAGTAATGTAGGCCTGTTATACTGAGTGATATATATTTTACACACTGCTCTGCTTTCTGCACGGACCTCACAGTTGTTCTCACTGTAAACATCGCGTTGCAATGAAAGCAGTTACTAATATAATATCCAAGGGATGCATGCAGAGCTGTCATTGGCTGAGATAAGTCCGGCCGTGCGTCACGCCTCCACCGTTCCCAGAAATGGAGCCGTGGAGGACCCATCAGTGTATCCTCGGTTAGAGCTCCTCGATGCTCGGTCCTCGAAGTGCATTTAGAGAAATTAGATGTCCTTCAACATGGCGCGCTGAAATTCATATCCGGGTCACTACCGGAGGACTGAGGAGTCGAGGAGGGGACATTTGAGTATTGAGAAACCTCTATTGTATTTCCTGGGGAGAGGGGTAAGGAAATGTAACGGAGGTGATCTCTGGGCCCATAGATCTCGGCCTCCGTTACGGGTAATATAGCACTAAAAACATTGCACAGGAAGCAGGCGAATATATGTAAGTGTGTCTGTCTCTGTTTCCTGGTTTCATGTTAAAAGTGTTCCCCTTTCCCCATGTCTGTGACTGTTGATTGTGTGCACCTGGTGCCCTGTGTTGTCTCCTCCCCCCCACCTGTGTCGAATTGCTGATTAGTGTGTGTATTTAGGGTCTGTTGCCCTGTCTGTTTTGAGGCTGGTAGTGTGGGTGAGATCCTTGTGGCTGCTGACTGTGTTCAGGGGAACAGCAATTGAGGCTGTGAATCATGTGCTTATGATTTGAATAAATGCCCACATCGTCTTGTATGTTTGGACGTTCTGCCTCTGCCTCCTTGCTTGGTCGGGCCGCTCAATTGTCAGCTTCACAAGCCTGAATGCTGATACACACAGAGATGTATCACCTGTTTTAGGATGTTTTCTATAACCTCAGTGTTGTGTGAAAACAGCTTATGGACCGGAGAGGCTTATGCATTTCTGAGGAATTAAAAGTGTTGAAACCCTGGGTCTCATAGGTTTTATGTGTCATAACACGTTTGCCTATTTCCTATTAAAACAGCAGTAAACATGCACCTCGTTACTCATATAGCCTGTTACTGTTGTGGCCATTGTTACAAACACATGATTCAGTAGTGACACAACAAAGTGAGTCTAGACTGTTCCGTGTGGACAGTCACACTAATCCCTGCTAACATGCAGTTTAACATGAAGAAAAACAGCTTTAAAACGAATTTTAACGCTACAGAGTAATAACATTATTTGATTGAACTTACCTGTTTATTGTGTACGTTTCCGGTGTTTCTGGACTAACAGTTTCCCCGGTTTGTTGGCGGGTGTCCGTTTCTTACCGCTGACCGAGGCGGAAATGTGGAGAAAAAATAAAACCACGTGATCCGAAGACCAAAGTAATCGATCGCAGACGGAGTTCAGATGGAGGGATCCGAGCTGTGAAAGCGATATTTAATCAATATTCGCACCCTTTTTTTTTTACACACATTATTTTTCAGAACTTTCTATCACATTTGATCCTCTTTATCAGAGGATTCTATTGAGAGGCAAGTAACAGAAAAAACAATTACGGTGATCAATATCCTGATTTGTATCGTCTTATAAAAGTGGTTAAAAACAAGGTAATGGTAGAAGGTAATAATAAATAATAATGCATTTATTTTATATAGGCGCCTTTCAAGGCTCAAGGTCGCCGTACAAACACATACACAATAGATAACACCAGCATAAGAGACATAAACAAGACAATGCAGTATATAAATCAAATCAATAAAAACAGGATGTGTGATGGATAATGATCAGGGTGGATATGCGAGTGTGAAGAGATGTGTTTTGAAAATGGGGAGAGTCAGTATTGCGGATGTCAGGTGGGAGAGAGTTACAGAGCGGCTGAAGGCTCTAGACCCCATGGTGGTTAAACGGAAGGGGAGTGCGGATGGGTGTGTTGATGTGCAGGAGGTCGGAGAGGTACAGAGGAGTGAGGTTATGAATGGGCTTAACAGGTTAAAGGTGAGATTTGACGGGGAATACTAGTTAAAATAACACGTCGAGGTAAAACTAGTTGGAATCAAAACCAAGCAGAATATTGTTTTTAAAACTGTCAATGGTGTATCACCTTAAACCAGCTTTAACAAAAGGGTGGGGCTTTTATTTTGTCAGGATACATTTTTTGATCTGGGAAAGCAGATGTAATTTTTATTATTGTCTAAGATTATATTAATTCAAAGGGCATGTAGGAAGCCACCTGGAGGAAAAGATCAATGTTTTCTCATTTAGAACATGGGGTGGTGGTGCATTTCAGCCTCTTGTGGCCAAAATGGGTAACGATGAATACATAATATATCCTGTCAAATAAAAATAAATACCTGACTAAACTCTGTGGGAACATATTTGTTTTAACTTTTTTGACCAATAAAAAACAATACATAAACACTTTCCAGGCTAAATCTAGTCATCCCAACCCGTTTCACAGAATAGTGTTTTAAATGGATGAGGCACGATAGTCAGATGCTCAAATCCAGTTAGAACTAATAGGTCGAAATGTATAAACTGCCTTGATGTTCTTACCACTTCAGTTCTCCTCTTGCTTTGGCGTAGCATGTGTCCCCGAGAGACTGAAACCTGGGGAATCTGGATCTGTGTCAAGCAGCGTATGTTTTACCAAGAGGCCAGCTATCTTATTTTTGTTACAGACTCAGCAATAAAGCCAAATTCAGCATCTGAACGGTGAGTCAATGTGACACTAACACACATGCTTCGATTCAGGACACTGTGATATTTACAAACCAAACATGTTCAATATTATATCAGACATTTGAAGTGTCCACTGTAATCTCACCGTTAGCACCAAATCTTCCCTGGCCTAGATTTAGCTGCGATAGACTATGAAGGAACAAAACATTGATTTATCTGATCGGTGCTGCTTATTTTTAACAGTTTGATTGGAGTTCAGTACCAAGTTGTTATGTTGAGAAAGTTTGTCATAACGACTTTAAGGATCTTAGGCTTTCATTTAACTTTCTGTCAGAAATGGGCTTCCATATCGCTTACACTCGCACAACTTAAATGTAACAGCTACTGTAAGGGTGAATCACAACACTTGCAAGCACGGAGGATCCAACGGCTAAACAGCAAGTTTATTTTGGTTAGGATCAAACACACAGATCATGTCCTGAGGGTGAGATGAGATCAAAATCCCCTGACTGAAATATGGCAAAGATGGTTTGTGGTGTTCGGTGGGGGGCAAATGAGCGGGAAAAATGGTGTGTTACAATGTTTAGTGAATAAGATTAGGAGGGGAGCGGTTACTCTCACAGCAGAGAGCAGCAGGGACCAACGCCATGGCAAACTCCAGAAAACAGGGAGACCACATCTCTGTATCTCCCACCCTAAAGTCTCCAGCTGCTCAAATAATTGTTTCTATTCAATAAAACCGAGTTTTATTTGAAATGAAAAACAAAAGGCACAATGATTTTCAACTCATTCTTGTCTTTAATATGCACAAGAGTTGAACGCATCAATGAGCCACCTTAAAGAGAGGAATTCAATCTAAAATTTATAAAAAGATATAAACAGAGGCCAAAACGCTGTCTGTTGCTTCTTCTCCAAATATTTTTTATTTAAAACAACTTTCCATTAGCAAGTAAAAATCTTGCAACAAACATAAGCTTGTATCCAATTCGGATACAAGGCAACGAAATTGTAAATCTTTAAAGTGGCTCGGTCTAGTCTGCTAGTTCATGACTGTACACCCTCTCTATAGTTTTGTTCAGTAATAAACAGCTAGTCCCAAAAACAAGCCTGGGCTGCTCATAACAACCCCACCCAATACGTAAAACCCCAGTGTGACCCTCCCCCTCCCCACCTGTTCGGACCCCCTCTCAGTAGTTAGCAGCCAACCAGGGGATCGTAAAGTCTTCGAGACCAGGGCTAAGGTCGGGTTCAAAGTTTGACGCCGTGAACCCGCACCCCCCACACCAACTGGGACGGCACATTTTTTTAAAATCCCGTCACCATTACTACGAAGAAGAAAAAAAACTGCCTGTTCCAATTTATCAGCATGTCATCACAATACATATGCAAGTCAGAAATAAAAACATTGAAACAAAGAAATATTGCTTCAACGGAAAATAAAAAAAAAACCTCCCCAGCCATCTTTGACAGTAAATCGTCCTTCCAATGACTGTCAGCTGCAGCAGCTTTGTACAGGCTTTATGTAAATATATTCATATATTCATTAGACGGCAAGGAGAGATACACATCACATTTTTTGTACAATTATTCAAATTGAGTGATGACATGTGACCTCTTCAAAGAGAGAAAGTAGTTAAGTACTGTGTTTAGGACCTGTACTCGTTACATAAG